CATCTTCTGGACAAAGAAATCTGACAATTTTACTCACTATGGGTTTCCTTCTGAGTCTTTTCCAAAGTTCAGGCACACCCAGGAAGGTATTGGTCTTAGTTCTTTTCCATAAATGTTGATCAGCTCAATTCCAGATCGATGCAGCCAAATCTTCTTCTGAACACTCCAACTGAGAACCGAACCAGAAAGGTGTGAGGCACCCATTTGGTCCTTGCTTAATTACTTAAGGCCCATATTCCATGCTCAGGTGTCAAATCCCCAGATTATTTAAACAATAGGATTTACACCTTGTCCAAAAGAATTCACTTAATTAAGTTGAAATATGATGGTTTCAGTGTTCTGTAGGCATGTGAAGCTGTAATATTTTTGTGTTTTTTTTTAAAAAAAGAATTCTACCAAGGCTCCTCCTCCCCATAAAAATACATCCATAGATGGGCTTAGTGACATGTTGGGAAAAAGACATTACAAGCACTGCGCATTGGGCCGAGACAAAAAAGCCAGAACCTGACAGACAACTTCAAGTGCACAAAGAAGAAGCCAGCCAACAGAAAGTAACCTGAGAGCCATAATGCAGTTCTTCAGACCACCTGAGTCTTGTTGGCTCCAGCCATACTTCAGTGGAAACTAAAGACTGGGGGCGGGGGGGACCTTCAAGAGTTCTCTTTTTTAAAGTAGTTTCCCAGATGATGCCTTATTTTCTTTGAGATTACGGGGAATTGAAAAGGACATAGATGACCTAGCTATCATTTTTCAAAGAGTGGTACATGTTGGATGACCAATTTAGGGCCAGCCTTACCATTAGTCAGATTAAGAATGCCTCAGGGGAGATGGTGAAGAGATGGAAGATGGCACTGTTAAGTACCATTTGGCCCTCCTTTATCTCTTCATGCTAGGCATCTACCCTCAGTGGGGGTAGAGGAGGATCTCCTCTTATGAGCCCTGAATTGAGACTGAGCTGCCAGTCTACTTGGGTTCTGCACATGTAATCTGGGGGAAGGGGTTGCTTCAGCCAGCATGCTGTCTTGAAACAGCCCACCCGAGTTTGGATTAGATTTCCAGCAAGAACCACACAAATCACCAAATATGGTTCGAACTAAAATCTTTAACAGAATTCTTCTTTGCTGCTGGAATATGGTACTCTCCGGAAGGTTTTCCTTAGATTTCTCATCTACTAGCAAAAACTGTTAATTAAAAAAGAATAAGTTATCACCCTTCCTCATCTTCCTGTGAAGACAATGTGCATTAAATCCATTTTGTTCCATTGATGTGTCTGGGTGTGATAACTCTTGTATCCAGCTCTTATAACATCGCTGAAGGAATGGATTGATACCTACGTACATATGAAGCAGTGAAGAAAGCCAAAATCCAGTAGGGGGAAAATGTGACTTGTTGGAAATATAGTGCTAGAGGAGAGCTTTGAAGGTATCATGGCCTACCATGAAAGCAAATGAGTGGATCCTAAATTAAATCAAGTGCAGATTCTCCCTACAAGAAAAAAAAATGACGAAATGGAGGCTATTGTACTTTGGGCACATCATCAGAAGACAAAATTTGGTAGAAAAGACAATAATGCTAGGAAAAATTGAGGGCAAAGAGAAAAGAGGAAGACCAGATATGAGACTCATACGTTCAAAGAGAAGCCACAGAATTAAGTTTACATGAACTAAACAAGGCTGTAAACCGTAAGACATATTGGAGGTCATTCATAGGGTCACCATAATTCAAAGGCAACAAGACTGCACGTAACAGCAACAAGGCACCTGAGCATAAGCCTCACTAAGTTCAATGCAGTGTACATCAGGCAGATTTGCACTCTCATTTATTAACAACTTTTGTCAAAATAATTTCTTCAAACTGCAAATTTGGGTGTCAAGGCTGAAAGCTAGACTAAAATCAAGTGTGTGATCTCTTATCTGAACTGAAGAAGCAAAATAAGAATTCACACATTGGGTTCTATGCACTGGAGTATCTGCTGAATTCAGTCCCACTCTCAGGCTCTGATTGCACACTTGCTGGGGATTCTCCCACTGAATTTATTTCCTAGGAAACAGCAGCTGCATTCAAGACCTTTGCCAGGTCACAACTCTGTCAAACCCAGAACACAGATGGGTCAAGTATAACCAGGACAGAGCTGCTGTTCCGCATACTCCAATGAAGTCTGGAATATCTGGTGTCTTACAAACTGTGTGAACCCAAAGAGAACTGGACAGAAGGCAGAATTGCTTTCTAAACTGTCTAGATTGAGAAAACAACAAATGAATCAGTGAATTACTTTATACACTTGTTCAGTTGCTTATTTGTCACAGGAAAATGTTTCACTTAGAGCATGATAGTAAAATCTTTTAGGTTTATTATTGACAGTATGTCATAAACAAGACAATATTAAAAACATTTTCTTTCTTTGGTGTTTTTCCTTTTTCCATAATAAAGAATATATTTCTACGGTATATTCAATATTCAAAAGAGAAGCAACACATTTAAGCAGGTCTAAAAATGGAACATTTCATTTTCTAAGTTTTTTAAAAAGCAAGAATTCCTTGTACTAACAAAAATGTATTACTTAATTTAATAAGTACAACTACTTCTCACTGAAGAGATAAACCATGCCTGCACTTAAGGCTGCTGACAGTGACTCACATGGCAGAATGCTCCTCCGTGCAGGAAAAACCTGCCAGACAGTAAATGAGAGAACAGGCAAGAAGGCAAATCAGCCTTCCTTTTTGTTTTGCTAGCTTTGCATGTGTTGGAATTCACTTTTAATTACTATTATTTTGTTACAGCACGGGAGATGGTCACTTACAGTTTGCAGTGGTACAGGACTAAAACCTCAGTGAGAACTGGCTTTAAAGTATTAAATATTAATACTGAAAATCCTGACACTAATTTTGTTAAACATCAAAGGCTAATCCATAGTCCAGTTAAGATGAACCATTTGGATTTAAAACAACATAAGCAGTGATCCCTAGGATGCCTTGTAATAACTGCTTTAAAATCAATTAAATGAACTGAATGACATTGGTTTAAACAGCACTGACTTTCAGGTACGCATTTAGGATTGTACCTCTTTAGGGTTAAATCGAACTACTCTGTCTAGGCTAAGTTATGGACTGAGATTTTTGTTTTAATTATAGTTTATCAGTCTAACAAGGAATCCCACATCCTGGGATATTTGACACATTATATATTCAAAGTTCTACTGTGCGTTACTCAGAAGGCACTACTTTCCTTTATGCAATATGCACTACAAAACTATACTAATACTACATATGCAATATGCACTATATACACTGTACACTTTATATGCAACATACTAAGCTGTTACATTATAAAGTAAGCAATATTGCATAATACATCTATTGTTCGCCATAATGATGGTGTATTACTTATACTCCACCAAAACATTGCTATGTGTAATGCAGATCACTTCCATACACAAAATCTGGTCTAACATGATTACATTTGAAATGCATTATATGCTGCCTATTCAGCAAGGAAGATGTATGATTAGTAAAAATTGTGTGTTGTGAATTGTGTACAATGACTAAATGAACTGTGTAAAATGTACCAGCTTCACAACATTAGGGGGGGGGGTTCTTTCTTATTCTGAAGTGACCAGAGACAAAATTAAGTAAAACAAAATGGAAAAAGGTGTTACATACCAAGGATTATCAGTGGCCTTCTTGATGTCTTCAAGATAGTGTGGTTAGAGGACAAATCACTAGATTTGACTTGAACATATAAAAAAATCATACTGAATCACACAAATGGCCTAGCTAGAGCAGCACTGGCTTCTCATAGTAGCTAACTGTGACTCTGTGGAGCCCACAAACAAGACCCAAGGGGCAAATCCAATGGTAAGTCCTAGGCAGAGTAGATTTAAGAAATCCTATTCATTCAGTGAATCCACTCCAGCTGCAGCGAACAAGTGGATTCAACCCAGGGGTAATTACCACACTTCCTTTGAAGCAACCATAATAAGGAGATGGGGTAGCCTTAATCCTAGTCAACAGATCGAAGAGATCTTGACTTGGGCACCTGTCTTCTCTTCTTCCTCCCCATCCTGGCAACAAGAGGTCAAATACACAGTCACTTTACAAGCGAAAATCTTCACCCACGAATGCCTGCCTAAATGTGCTTCCATTGTGCCATCTCTGGTGCAGCCTTCAGCCCACCTCACAAACAGAACATCCACATGGTCTACTCTATAGATGGCCCTCCTTTAGAAAACTGTGGAAGGACATGTCTGGCTTCCAGATCAAGAACTTTCAGGTCACTCAACCATCCCTGGGCACAAGACGGAGCAGGCACACTGGCTATGTAGTTTTCCTCACTAAGGTGTGATGCACTCCATTTTAAATGACACTATTCGTTTCCAAATGTGGTATCTTCATGTAAATTAACATATCCAAATTTTATACAAATACAGTCTCTTTGGTGGGGATGCAGAAGTGGCTACCATAGTTAGGATTCTGCGGGCATTGCAAAAGCGGTTTTATTCTGTACCCTTGAAAATGGATAACCCCAATTAGGGGGAGGGACCTGTTCTGTCTTGGGGTTTTCCTCCCCCCAAAGAACTCCTAGGGAACCCCTGGGACGTGGCACTTTAAAATAAACTTGCTGCATCTCCAAATGACAAAATTCCGGGCTTGAAGGCACTGTACCCAGTAGGTGGGTAGGTGGGTCCTGGTGGCCCAACTCTGCAGTGGACTGAGCAGAGGCACCACGAATGACATCTTCACTGTGGTCAAAAGAGATGCCTCTTTGCAGCCAGTAAAGGCACAGAGCGTGTATCTATAGAAAGGTAACAAGCCTAAATCATACATCCAGGACCCTAGGACGCCCCCTCCCTCCCCGTTACACCAGCACAAGTGTCATCGAACGAGCTGCGTTCACGCAGTAGGCAGAGGCCTCCGTTCCCATCTGCCTGTTATGGACACACTTCGGGGAAAGTCCTCTCGTCTTTGTGGTTGTGGCGGCTGCAAGCAGGGCAGGTTTCCCCTTCACAGGTACCTTTCCAGGCCGGCGGGGAAACTGGGCTGCCTCATGTAAGAGTTATTGGGCCCCGCTCCGAACTGGCCCAGTCCGTTCAGCTGGGAAGCAGCGAGGCCGAGCAGTTGCTCCGCGTGCTCGGCGCAGGCAGTGGCCGGGCGCCCCGGTGGCAACGCCAGCCGGTTGGGGGCGCCGTAGAGCTGCGCGTTGGGAGGGGAATAGGCGCCCGGCGGCACCGACAGGGGGCCCGGCGGCGAGGCCGAGTACGGGTAGCTCATGGCCGGGGGCTGTCGGCCCAGCAAGCCCGGGCTGACCGGCTGCGCCTGGAAACAGGCCTCCGGGTTAGCCACGTGGCAGCTGCCCAGTTCACCGGCGGCGCCGTTCAAGCCTAAAGCCGGGTGGCCCAGCTCGGTCCCCGCTGGGGACGCTTGAAGCGCCGCCGCCGCCGCTTGTTGTTGTTGTTGTTGCTGCTGCTGCTGCTGCTGCTGCTGCTGGGAGCTGATGAGGCTGTCGATGCTGAACATCCGCGGCGGGAGCGCCACCGTGCCCGGGTACTGGGGCAGGCCGGGCAGTTGGGTGCCGTAGGCGACCCCGGGCGAATAGAGGGGGCCGCCCCCGGGGCTCGGGTAGCCCACGGCCGCGGAGCCGTTGCAAGGGCCCGGCCGGGCGACGGGCCCCGGGTTGGGGGTGAAGGCGCTGGCGCTGTGCACGTAGCCCGGGTAGGTGGTGAGGTCGGTGCGCTTGAAGCGCTTCCTCCGGCGCAGGAAGGAGCCGTTGTCGAACATGTCCTCGGACTGCGGGTCCAGCGTCCAGTAGTTGCCCTTGCCCGGGTTGCCCGGCTCGCGGGGGATCTTGACGAAGCAGTCGTTGAGGGTCAGGTTGTGGCGGATGGAGTTCTGCCACTTCTTGGGGTTCTCGCGGTAGAAGGGGAAGCGCTCGGTGATGAACTTGTAGATGCCGCCCAGCGTCAGCCGCCGCTCGGGCGCGTTGGCGATGGCCATGGCGATCAGGGCGATGTAGGAATAGGGCGGCTTGCCCCGCTGCACCGGCCGCTTCCTCCGACGGCCGCCGCCGCTCCCGCCCGTGCCCGGGCAAGGGGGCTGCTCCTCGGCCGGCTGCTCGCCTCTTCTCTCGGTCGGGCTCCCCCGGGGCTCGGCTTTGATCAGCAAGGGCTCCACCTTGCAGCCCGAGGGGGAGGCCCGGTGCAGAGCCGGGGAGCCGGGGCTGGCCCCCTGGCTGGGCGAGTGGAGGGAGTCGGCTGTCATCGTGCACATATCCGAGAAGAAGGAGAACCCGGCCAGATTCATATACAGGGAAAACTCCGCCAAGGGAGAGGCGGACGAAGCAGGGCAGCTCCCTGGGGATCCAGGTACTATTGGGCAGGCACTGCGCTTTTATATAGGTCAGCCCTGGCGCCCCCCCCCGGTGCAACCCCCGGAAGGGCGCAGCGACTGTCCACCCACCTACTCTAGTTATGCGCACAGAGAGAGACACAGAGGAAGAATCCGGGATTCCTTCCATTTCTGTGCCAGGGAGGAAAGGGGGCAGGACAGTGTTTTATTTTGCGGTAGAAGCTGCGGGCTCATCTTAAAGATGGAAGCGCGTCCTCCGTATCTTGAGTGGGTGTTACTCCGAGAACGTGTTCCGAGGACTGCGGCTTCAGTCCGAATCGACAAAACCCGGAGGTTCTTTAGAGGAAGAATCTTAGGGATGTTCACGGGTCACGCACATCGGTGCACTCCTCTGGAGACCACTCTGAAGCTCCTCCGCGATAGTAACCGGATCCTAAGATATTAAAGATTCACTGTAGTATATCAAGGGAAAACTCCAGGAATTTTCCAGAGAGACGTGGTCCGGGAGAAGGGCGCGCTGTAGAGTCGTGCCCCGCCTCGGTTCGGCATCTGGGAAAGCAGACTTGCAAAACATGTTGGGAAGTCCTTCTGTGCAGGCTTTAGGGAAGGGGACGGGGTGTTTCACGAGAGCAGAGGCGGTGAACCTCCTGGTAAATACCTCTTCCCTTGAGTGGAAACCAGGCTCGCCAAAACCGGTGTCGTTGACTGGTCTTCCACAGCAGGCTGCTGCGGAAAAAAACAGGGTTGAGATCGACGGGACTGTCGCTCTGCGCCTAAACACATGCTCCCCTTTCTAGGCATCCCCTGCACACAGAATCATAACAGACGAAATGAAAGCGAGGGAGGAAGAAGGAGGAACCGATGACTGTGAATCCATCTCAAGCAAAACAGCCCTGCACGGCGGCGGGGTTTTAGCAGTCCCTAGGGCGTTACTAGAGTGACATCAAGTTATATACCTTGTCACAAAACGAATGCTAGCAGCCACAATTGTCAGCTAAAATTCTCTTTCTTTCTTTTTATTGGGTCAGGAGAGGAATGAACTTTCCCAGTTCCCTTATATGCACTGACTGCAGAATTTATTGCTCAGCGCTCTTTGTTATTATTACTGACAAGTACCAAACTTCTTCTTCTTGTTGTTTAGTCGTTCAGTCGTGTCCGACTCTTCGTGACCCCATAGACCAGAGCACGCCAGGCCCTCCTGTCTTCGACTGCCTCCCAGAGTTGGGTCAAATTCATGTCGGTAGCTTCCATGACACTGAGGGACTATCTCGTCCTCTGTCGTCCCCTTCTCCTCTTGCCTTCACTCTTTCCCAACGTCAGGGTGTTTTCCAGGGAGTCTTCTCTTCTCATGAGATGGCCAAAGTATTGGAGCGTCAGCTTCAGGATCTGTCCTTCCAGTGAGCACTCAGGGTTGATTCCTTTCAAAATGGATAGGTGTGTTCTCTTTGCAGTCCAGGGAACTCTCAAGTGTTTCCTCCAGCACCACAGTTCAAAGGCATCAATTCTTCAGCGGTCATTCTTCTTTATGGTCCAGCTCTCACTTCCATACATCACTACTGGAAAAACCATAGCTTTAACTATGCGGACCTTTGTTGGCAAGGTGATGTCTCTGCTTTTTAAGATGCTGTCTAGGTTTGTCATCGCTTTCCTCCCAAGAAGGAGGAGTCTTTTAATTTCGTGGCTGCTGTCACCATCTGCAGTGATCATGGAGCCCAAGAAAGTAAAATCCATCACTGTCTCCATATCTTCCCCTTCTGTTTCCCAGGAGGTGATGGGACCAGTGGCCATGATCTTAGGTTTTTTGATGTTGAGCATCAGACCATTTTTTGCGCTCTCCTCTTTCACCCTCATTAAGAGGTTCTTTAATTCCTCCTCACTTGCTGCCATCAGAGAGGTATCATCTGCATAGCTGAGGTTGTTGATATTTCTTCCAGCAATCTTAGCTAGAAGAAACTTAGTCCTTTTTATTTGTATAATAAATAATAACAGTTTTGCAGTGTGGTAAAGAGGAACCTTTTTACAGTACAATCTAGGCATTTCTACTCAGTGACAAGAGCCTCAGAGTTCAGTGGAAGTTACTCCCAGGTAAGCACATGTCGAATTGCCACCTTCTGCAGTTAAATGCATTGGTGTATGTGCTGTCAAGTTAGACCCAATTTATGGGGATCCTAACAGAGCTGTCAAGGTAAGAGATATTTAAGGAGTGGTTTACCAGTGCAATCCTTCCCCCAAAAAAGTTTCCATGGCCCTGAAAGGACTTGAACCCAGTTCTCTTGAGTTCTAGTCCATTATTCTATACACTACACCACACAGGGCACCCTAATTAGATGCATATTTATCTAGGAACATGTAGTGTGATTTCCCTGTTAGTTTGTAGTATGTTGCTGCAATGCCAACAAAATGTTTTTATGGTACCTGAAAGACCAAATGATATAAACCTTTGGGGGACTGCAGCCCATTTCATCAGATGCATCATATATCTGAGGAAGTGGGCTGCAACCCATGAGGATTTATACAAATAAAACTTGTTAATCATTGAGCGGTCACAAGCTTTGTTGGTTTTGCTACATCAATTTAGGAGTAAACCCCTGCTGATTATAGTGGGACTTGTTCCTCTGAGTAACATGAACTTGTTATACTTTCCCATGACTCCTTTTAAAGTGCACTTTCCTGGCTGAGACTGTGGGCATAGATGTGATCCACAAAACTTCACATTAAAATATAGCAGCTGCTCATTCAAGTGTCACAATGATCTTGCATCCTGTTTTTTTGGTTTTGTCTTATTTTGGTTTTGATTTGATGTTGCTTGCATAGATTAGCAGAGCTGCTTCTTCAAAAATCTGTACTCTTTCATTATTCTGAGTATGCAGGTATTGGGCTACACATTTATTACAGGATCAATGAACAGGTATAGAATTATAACCCACTGTAATTCAGTTCATCTACATTGTAAAAGTGTATATATATGTATTTTTCTTCCAAATAGAAATGAAGACAAATAAACATCAGCAGAAATTTGTCTTTTCATAAATTAAGTCATTTGTCCTGCTGATTGCTATATTATTATGAGCTGCTGATTTCAGGAGCAGGTCAACCTTGCCAGAATTTTTCCCCTTTGCGCCACTAGAAAAGACATTAATGCTTGGAAAAGCTGAAAGCAGCAGGAAGAGGTGGTTTGACTCCATAAGGGAAGCAACAAACCTTGAGTTAAGAGCACAGCTGGCTGTTGTGGACAGGACTTTTTGGAGGTCATTCATATAATGGATCGAGTAAGTTGGAAGCAACATGATGGCACATTATAACAAAACCTCCCTTTGATGTCCTGCCAGCAAAGAGTTTGGAAGGACTCAACAGTTTGTTTGCCATTCCTCAGCATTACTTAACCCAAGTACAACTGGCAGGGGTGGGGAAGAGGTGGGCCATCCCCTTATTAGGAGACTGCAGGTTTTTGGTCTTTGCCCACCTCCATTAGTCCTTGTTTGCATTTTGTGATCTCTGATGCCAGAGCAATTCACACAAAAATCTAATGCATGACCTTTAAGTCACCATCTTTTTTTTTAAAAAAAAATCTGTACATTAACAGCATGAATCTCAGAGTTTAGTGTGGTTACTTGGAATTCTGGGATCCCAATACAAGTCTTTTCGGATCTGTGGGGTTTTCAGAATAACAGATTAAACACTGCTTTGTGTGCTTGGAGCACTCCCAATGCCGAGGGATTTAAATTCTTTATACCCGCAGTCTTAAAATAATTTAATAGAACGAGCTACTTCTGGTTAACTGGGGGAAAGTTGTATTGAGTTCTGTGGGACTTAATCCGAAGCAGAGATGGGTTGGTTTGTGATGAGGGTCCCACTTAATGTGGTGCGACTTCCCAAGGGGGAAAAAAAAGGCAAGCAGAGCTTCTAGCCTAAGTGGTACCGAAAGGAATGGGAGCCGTCCACACCTGCGCTGCTCCTTTGCATTGCAAAGGGGAATTGGCTCCAGTGAACTCCTCCGTGATTGAAGACCTGAAGGCTAGCGTCACTAAGTATATTTTTAAGCACAATGTAACATCATTAAAACCACGCGCGTCTTGTAAATTCGCACTGCAAGAAAGTGGCAGCCACAGTTTTATGCGGAATACATTCCTAGCAACCATATCCTATCTCTTAACAGTAAAGAGTCCTAGCGTTCTGCAGCAGCCTAAGAAGTAAATCCATCTGGCCAGTCAGCCATTCTCCCTTCCGTGATTCTGCATTCAAACGGCGACCTCAACAAACACATTCAGTGCCAACTGAGGAGACTCACTCCTCAGTGGTTTGCCTTCCCCTCCCTTTTTCTTTCTTTCCTGGTTGGTAAGTATTCTGCAACCTCTTTTCTGAAATAGATCTGCTTTCTAGAAACGTTTTTGCACAGCATCCTAGCATCTCCTTTCTGTCTGCGGATAGCCCCTGGTGGCTGCGATCCTGCCCGCCCTCACCCGCCCTATGGCTTTTAGAAGGAGAGGTAGGTACAGTTGCCACTTAAGGCTGGGGCGCTGGCGTGCAGCCCTTTTTGTTGTTGTTGTTTAGTCGTTTAGTCGTGTCCGACTCTTCGTATCCCACGGACCAGAGCACACCAGGCACTCCTGTCTTCCAATGCCTCCCGGAGTTGGGTCAAATTCATGCTGGTCGCTTTGATGACACTGTCCAACCATCTCGTCCTCTGTCGCCCCCTTCTTCTCTTGCCTTCACACTTTCCCAACATCAGGGTCTTTTCCAAGGAGTCTTCTCTTCTCATGAGATGGCCAAAGTATTGGAGCCTCAGCTTCGGGATCTGTCCTTCCAGTGAGCACTCAGGCTTGATTTCCTTTAGAATGGATAGATTTGTTCTCCTTGCAGTCCAGGGGACTCTCAAGAGCCTCCTCCAGCATCATAGGCATCCTTCAGTCTCAAGAGACTATGGTAACATGCTCTGAATCGAGGAGTGTCCTCTC